CACGAGCAGCTGGGATATTAGGAGTAACCCACAGCGTATGGAATCTCCTTAGATCTAGTTCGTCGTTCGCCGTGACAGGTGGAGGGCAGCAGTGGCAGCACCGTTTTTATGACTCCGAATGGTGCGAAGCCGGGGTCTTGATCGTCTGCAGAGCAGGAGCTACAATTTCTGAATCAAGGTGGAAGTAAGCATTTTCTGCACCAGAACTAGTTTGACCCTGGTACGAGGATTCATGGTCACTGCCGGGACGTTTGCTCCGCTTGAGGAGAAACAGTCGTGTCAAATCCTGCTTCGGGATGGTGGGAAGATCATGCTGATGGTAAGAGGTGTATGACCACGGCTGACTGAGTGCTATTGTAATAAAGCTTCTATCTATAGTATATACTGTGTATATCAAATGCTTCCGCCCACTTGAAGGGGAGATGACGTTGTCGCTGAGTAGTACTCCGTAGATACAATTTTCCCTCCACGATCCATCATCAGAAGGAATGTCCTTTTTCCCTCGTCTCGAAACAGGCAAACCCTCAAAGCTGTCAGCTGGGGAGTCTGTCGCAATCCCTTCTTGTTGTGCTCTCTGCCATTGCAGGGCGGAAGCACCGGATAGATAAGATGGGATACTCGCCAGGACTTCGCAGGAGGAGATGACCAATGCGAAGACGGAACACGGCGGATCTGTGTCCTTGTCCTTGTCCTTACCCTTGTCAGTCAATGAATGGGCGCCCATTACTGACCTCAGCGCCGTTTCTCTGCCCAGGCAGAAATGGCCCATCCCATCACCGTGTACCGCGTCTCCCTTCGATCTTGCTCGTCTGCTCTGCGCCTGTTCACCCTTGTTGAGGAACTCGTGTGTACTCCGTAAGCTGTGAGTAGAATGGAATAATCCCATCACAATCACCCTCACCCTTGCCAGCACAGGACGATCCCTCTGTGCAACTAGCGACTAGTTACGGATTACTCCGTAGTCCCGCAATGGATGTGGGTTGTTTTCCCTCCGTTGTTCCGCCCATACCGTCACCTCATGCCCAGCCCTAAAATGTGGTGGTGTGGACCTGGTGGTTAACTTGTGCAGCTATAGTTTCAGCATCGGGAGGAAGGTTAAAAAAAAAAAAAAAAAAAAAAAAAAAAAAAAAAAAAAAAAAATAAATAAATAAATAAATAAATAAAATTAGTGGGAACAAGGTCAGAGATAATAAGGGGAAAATACGAGCAAGCCCCCTCCAAATGAAAAAAGAAAAAAAGAGAAAAAAAGGACGGGGTTTCCCAGTCGCTTCTCTCGTCGCAAGATGATTATCATCGTCTATACTGACTTGAGAAAGGGCGCTTTGGATCGTTGAAGCATGGTAATACGCAGATCCAATATGAGGAAGTATCCACAAAGTCCGTTCGGGACATGTTTACTTACATATTCGTATTGTAGTTACCCCGTAGTTATACAACACCTATCTATCATGATGCTGGGTTGTGACTCTTGTGAGCAAACATCGATGACCTGTCAAGCCCATGTGTTGTGCTCCACAATGGCTCTCGGGAGTTTAAAAGCATGTAACTAGCTAGCATCCTCGACTCTACTAGATGTGCTGGAACTTGTTACCGCAGCACAGTATGGTATGGCATAGCTCAACTTCTGAGGAACGGTGCTGCAGAATTTGGAGATCGAAGCGAGCGTTGTTCGTATTTCCATCGTCATCGTGACCAGCCTGTTTCCGGCAGCCGATACGTCACTTACCTCCGTTTTTTGTTAATTAATACTGCGTCCTGCTAACTAACATCTCTCCCTCACAACGATTACACTGAAAAGCTCGCTTGGATAGCTCGCTGCCCAACATCCGAAAATGGGGAAACTAATCCCTCACAGCCTTGCCACCTTCTGGAGTTTTCACATCCTCAAAGGGGAGAAAGGAAATCCTCCTCCCGGTGATTAAAGAAACTGACTTCGGCATCACAGATCTGCCCCTCTCGCAGGGTCGCTCCGTGGTCACCGCCCAAAGCCTGGGCTCGCGCTATCCAGCAAGCTGTTTGCCGGACCCGTCAGGCGAGAAACGCTAATCCTGCATAGCATCATCAGGACGCTGGGACGCATTATTAATCCGCCCTGTTCTCCAGCAAAGCAGAGCTTGGAGAGAGAAGCGGAGAGAACGGAAGAGCGCACGCCGGAGACAAAAAGGAAAACGGATAAAAAAATAAAATAAAATAAGTACTATGGAAATAAAAAATAAAGAATCCTATCAGCTCCCAGCTTCCGGCTCCCGATTTTAGTTTCTGTTTCTTCCTTTTTGTTTGGCCTTCGTCCCAGTGATTCACTGCACTCTATCCTCCGCCTCTTTCTCTCTGGAACCTGATCGCTGCGCATCTACATTCTATCTTTTGAACTTATCCTCAACCATCTCCCCCCTCCCTGCCAAAAATAAAAGCTTCCCAAAGCTCCAACTTCACCCGGGAGTTCTTCCATCGGGCTCGCCACGCTACCTCATCATTTATCCTAATATTGCTATATCCATCTTACCTACCTGTTGTTGTGATAAAAAAAATCATTTATCCTCTTTCTTTCGGCATCCGGTGGCGGCCATGCTGCGGACAGCCACACCCTTCGTAGCTCCCAATAGAGCTCTCTGCTACCTCCTATTTCTGGCGGTCGCTGTACTCGCGCATGGCGACGATGTCGGGCATGGTATGAAGATGGATATGGATGGTGGTGGTGGTGGTGGTGGTGGATCGGACGGCGCCGGCGAACATAGCAGTAACAATAATGGCCCAACACCGTCCGACGGCTCGAGCCCCATGAGCTACTTCGCGTATCAGGAACATGCGGGCTCCATCGTAGCCCATATTGTCCTGATGGTTATTGCCTGGTTCTTCATTCTGCCAATTGGTACGCATATCATCAAACTTAAGTTATACTCGAGTAAAAAAAAAAAAAAAAAATATCGGTTCCTCCCCCCTTGTTTTTCCCCTTCTTTTTGGGCACACCAACGTGGACAAAGCAGAAATTACTACAATGGACAAAACGAAACACGCTAAACGAAATTGTCAATTCGCAACCAAGAAGATAAAGTTGATGGATTGCTAACCATTTGTGTGCCGCACACTTGGCACTCTTTCCTCCTCCTGTGTAGGTGTCATGTTAAGCGTCGCTCGATCGCGACTCGCCCTGCCTACGCAATTCTCCTTCCTCATCGTAAACGCCTTCGGGCTTCTGCTAGCAGCGGTGTATAACAACCAAGTCCCCAACCTTTACGAGAACAACGTCCATCACAAGATCGGCTGGATCGTGACTTGGGTTATGGTTGCGGAGGTCGTCATGGGCCTTTTGTTTGCGTATTCGGGTGGCCGTCGGGACGCCGACACGCTCGCTGGCCTTCCCTACGAGCGAGTTGCTTTTCTCCCCGTTCCGACCACGGATCATCCTCCGCAACACGAATCATATCCCGCGGCGCCTTACCATCAGTACCGCTGGTCGGGCGACAGCGGCCAGGGCAGTGAAAGGAATACCTCCTCCCTGCGAAGCCATAGCTGCTCCCCAGAACGGGGACGACGACTGTCCCGACCAGGCGACAGTGACGAGTTTGAGGAAAAGCTAGACGACGAAATCAACAATAATGGCGAATTGCCCGCGGGCACTAGCCGAGTCTTCTGGAGTGGTTTTGCGGATAAGTTCCTCTCGAGACGTGTCCCCGGACTGCTTTCCAGGCGCGCGCTCGACATCATGAATGTTTTTTATGTTGCCATCGAGAGAACCATTCTGATTCTCGGCTTCATTGCGATAGCTACTGGAGCTGTGGTTTATGGTGGTATTTTCGTAAGTTAGCTTTTTCTCTTTCTTTTTTTCTCTCCCCTTTTGTATTCTTGCTCCTCTCCCCCTGACTGTTCTCGTCAACTATGCCTGACCCCGCAAGGAATGGCGCGCTAATAATTCTTCCAGCGGGGCAATGATGTTTTCAATGGCCTCGCACATTTCATCAAGGGAGGCATCTTCTTCTGGTATGGATTGCTCACGCTTGGTCGATGGATGGGATGCTTCGCAGACCTTGGCTGGGCTTGGAATATTAAACCATCACGTGATATGGTGGGGAGATGGCGGGCCCGCGTACCCTCAGGGGAATTTACAGAATCCTTCGTCATCTTCTTATACGGCTCCAGCAACGTTTTTCTCGAGCATCTCGCAGCATGGGGCGAAGCGTGGACTGCGCAGGATTTGGAACATGTGTCCATTTCTGTCATGTTCTTTGGTGGTGGTTTGGTGAGTGACTTTTTTTCTTCTTCTTCCGTGATTTCAAAGGTGATGTTTCTTTCCCTCCCCCTGATGGTACTAATGGACCTCATACAGTGCGGGATGCTGGTTGAATCGAAACGTGTTCGAGACTGGATGAATACTGCCATTTTTGCTCCGACTGTCCATTCGGAAGGCTTGCCGTCGGAAATTGTTGAAGTGCCAAAGTCGCAACGAGTGCCTCTCAACCCCATTCCTGGCCTGATCATTCTGCTTCTTGGTCTGATGATGAGCTCGCACCACCAGTCGAGTATGGTATCCACCATGGTGCACAAGCAGTGGGGAATGCTGCTTGTGGGATTTTCTCTTGCTAGAGCTGTTACCTACATCCTCCTCTGCCTAAGGCCACCGACATCGCTGCTGCCCTATCGACCACCTTCGGAACTAATTGCCTCCTTCTGTCTCATTTCTGGAGGCCTCGTTTTCATGCTAAGTGTAAGTGTTGTATCCACTCTCACTGCTTTCAAATTATCTTTGCTAACGAATCCTGTATTCCCTCAGACAAGGAACATCGTTGATGCAATGGATCGTTACGATCTCAATGCGATGTTCGTGTTCACTGTCACCATGGGATTTACATCATTCGTGATGGCATGGGAAATCCTGTGTATTTCTATCAAGGCATGGGCTACAACAAAGTCAGCACTCGCCATTCCACCTCCAGCCAGCACGTACCGGTTCCCGGCTTGAGAGGAGCAGGAGAAAGTAAAGAGGAAGAAACTTTTTTTTTCTCTCAATTTCATTCCTCTTCTCCAAATTTCTACTTACGTGGCGTCTCCATTTTTATCATCTTCGATTTTAGCGATTTTACTTACCATTTCTCCCATTCAAAAAAGTTGCAGGCTCTCGCTGCTAATAATACCCCCATATGTTTTGATGCTTTCATGATCCTGATTCCATGCTGCTCTCCTCCCCTCTTCCCCTCCTCCCCTCCACTCCTTCATACATAATGCCGTTTTATGCTTTTTCGTCCTTGCATTTGTGGCCGTTTCCCCTTCCAGTTATTATTTTTTGAAACTGCTGAGCGACCATTCTGGATGGTGAGAAATATTTAACAGGATATATGAAGACAGTGAGTGATAAAGTGGGCCCTCATCCCTCCTCCATCCCCCATTTTGTGATTAATAAAGTGAAGCTTTGCAAAGAGTGTTCAGTCGTAGTATGTCAATTCATATGCGTAATGTGTTCCTTCTGATATTTTTTGACCCTTTGATCTTTCTTTGATACCAAAACTGATTTCTCCCTCCACTGCCATCACCCTCTTTTTTTCTCCTTTTCTTCTCCCTCATCTATCCGGGATACCTCCCTTACGTTCCGGGAGGTTGTATCATCATAATCATCATAATCACCCACTTCATACTATATACCCCATGCTTATATTGTTGTCCCTATCGCTTTCCTTTCCAGGGATTGTATGTCTATCCTTGACAGTTTTGGTGCGTCCATTGCGCAGGCACCAGTCCGATAATTATTCTGAATTTTATGTGTGGTATTATTTCTCCCTTTTCGCTGCTCGCTGCGTATATCTATGAAGGCTTTCATGTTTTAGCCCTAACTTACACTTTATCGCGAAAAATGATCTGCTGGTACAAATCTATATAAGCTGAATTACCCCTTGATCTTCTATAGTGTAACGCGTGCAGATATATTTATATCCGTGTATATCATATATGTAACTGCGCTTACACATCCCGCCACGGCGAAACGGAAAGCCCACCATATAACGACGACGATGATGGCAGTGGAATGAGAAACGGTGAAAAAGTAAAGCTGGAATAAAAAACCGGCTCTGATCTATTCCGACTATCAAGGCGAAGTTATTGTGTATACACAATCTTTAGGTAGGATGCGCATCGCCCTCCCTCTCCCTCTCCCTCTCCCAAAACGAACGACTCCAACGCGATTCACTTTGGGACGGATTACTTAATAGGATTTTGTCCTATCGCGGGCACGTCCGCTGTTGCATGCTTGTGTTTTTTTGTTTTGTTTCGTTCTGTGTATAGACATTACTCTTCTCCAACAGGGACACATCATGCAGCGGAGAGAGAGAGAAAGAGATTACAATGGCAATGTGCGAAGTTCTATCAAGAGCCCGATGTTTCGAGGCCACGTTTTGCAATCTTTACCTGGGGGACTGGGGTGCCGGTGTGCCGGCTTAAAAACTCAAAAAAGAAAGAAATTCAGTCCATCCCCAGGCAAGAATGTAGATTTAAATTGTTGGACAAAACCCTAGTCAAAGCCTCTTCCCTCCGTTAACTGCATCTCAGCTGCATGCTAAATCGCGACCTGAGCATTCGTAGCCTCGCTTCATGATCCCCACGCTGCCAGCGCTTGTCAGCTATCTCACTCGTGCCGTCCCCCATCTGCAAATGCCTTCGTAGCAGCAAATGTTGCTCCGATCATCTCGGGAGTAGCGTAACACATCGACAACATTATCCTCTTCCCCACCCTCTCCAAACCAACATCAGGACGCCAATGAGACAATCCGGGTATTCCCTCACCGACGCGGAGGATTCCGGTGCTTCCCATTTATAAATTTGGAAAAAACAGCAGATCATGCGGTTGCATCAAACATTTCAACCAGCACGCAATCAAAACAACACATTACATACGGAATTTCTCAGCGGGCCATCGGTCACGAGGTATAGGCTTGGTGGAGCCCGTCGATCTTTCCGACATCCTTCGCAACCTCTCCCTAGCTTTAAAACGTTGGGTATATGTGGCAGCCAGATCTGAATAGAAGGAATTTAGGATTTTTTCCTTCTCCGACTCGAGGAATTTTGCCGTATTCATTTCAACATCAGGGAACTTCCATGGGAAATATGCTTTAGAATGAGACCCTCTCACATAGAACATACAATCTACCTTGTGTAGGGCATTAAAAAATTCCCAACAGGCGACGCAAGATAGTTTTGACACCCCAATATATGGCAATGCTGAGATCCCCAAACGACTGTTGCCGATTAGATAGAGTACAAGCATGCATTCACAATGAACCCAACCATTAACGGTTTTCCTTCTCTTGAAACTCTTTTGAAGATGAAGCCCTGGAATATTTTTATTTGTTTCTGAAATATCCCTGAGAAGTGAGCTGGCACCCTGAGCTTCAAGAATCTCTTCAGCAATCTGACGCCACTTATCTGAAGAGGGGAGCTGAATTGCTCTCTGACTGCGGTTCAGACACTCAACTTCAATGTCTGTATTGATCAAATATTTTTGATACAGACGAGGTGAATAGGCGTACTGTAAAAGGATATCTGTGTTGTTTGAAATTGAAGGTATTTTCCTCAAGAATCGTTCGAGTGGAAAGTCTGAGACCAGTCATTAGTAAAACAAAAGTGGTAGACTAGTTGGAAACTTACCATCTATTTTGGATGAGGTCTTAGAAAGGTCCGCCAACCATGTCTTTGTCTCAAATAATTCTTCAACCATACCTGCAATGGAATTCAAGCCCTCAACCACATAATCTTCCTTCTCAACAGGAAATAACCTGGAATTATCTGGCAAATGATGTAACATCCAGTTTATAATCATGGAGCATTTCTTCAGGATATTGACACTGCCAATGCTATAAATATCCATACGGACGAATGTCAACCCTCGGGAGGATTTGGTGGATTTGTATCCCTTATGGAGTCTCTGATGGATTTTTGGAAGAGCAAATAAGAGTACTCTTCTACGAAAGAAATAAATCTTCTGTCTGAGATGGGGGGGGTAAATTCCTCTCATCAATCTCAGGGGAATCCACTCTGCCAGGTTCTGATGGCTGAGATTCGATCTGACTGGTGTGTATCTCCTGTTCTGCACTTTTTCGATAATCGGCAAAGTTAGCCCCGAGTTTCTTCAGGTCATTAATGAGGTTGCGGGCGTGTTGATAAGTTTTCTTGGGAATGCCTGATTAAAAAGAAGAGTCAATTACTTTCTCATAAGTAGGTTAAACAGCTTGTTGATAGTACCTGTATTGGAAGCAAGAGTCAGAATTATTTTCTTTTCCAAACCATTTTGTTGGCTATGCATCCCAACTGCTATTACTTCCCTTCTCGGCTTTGAGACAAGCACACTGGCGATGGCGTCTAGAACAATACGAAGCCGTTCATGAAAGGTATCTTCAAGGCGGGTATCCGCGCGACGTGGAAGTTCATTTTGGGGGGCAACTTCAGTAAGGAGGGCGATAAGATGTTCGACGTCCATAGTTCCATGAGACAAAAGTCTATAGAGTTCCAGACAAAGACGAACGCGTTTAGCCTGGTGTGATAGTTCGACATGGAAGTAAGTTCTGTTCAAGTCCCGTCTTTCAGTCCTCCGTAACGAAATTGTGTCCAGGATACCTGGTATTTGCCGGAAAACCCTTTCGGCATGGTTACAATCTTGGCTTCAAATATTTACGGTTCCGGGTAACTATGAGATCCTGCAAGAGGGTTGGTTCAAACCTTAGTTGTTGTTATCATCTATCTAGTAGCTAGCGGCAGCTATGTAATATATCATGGATGTGTGTGTGGGTCACGTGGGATAGGACTTGTGTAGGACGCCAACAGATCCGTACACTAGTAATAATATTTCGGCTTTCATGAAATTTTTGATTCCAGTCTGGATACGCAGATATGGGGCATCAGAAAGCACACATGATAGTAGCGGATTTTTCAATGTTTCTCTAACTAGCGGTCTAATCCAATTCTCTAATCTAACCTCTAATCCTCATCCTAAACAAGTGATATTATTATGTTGTCCTGCGTCCTGTTTCTGAGTTTAGGCTTAGCGTCCACTCCATAAATACGAGCATCTCCTTTCGAGGCGAGATCTCGTGCTGGACAACTTTCCTGCGCATTCCGTTCCCTCTCCTACTCACATTTTTTAGCTGGAGGAAACAGGGACCAAAGGACGGCCTGTGCAGCCTGTTCATAACGCCCGCTGGTGTCACTCTTCACTTTTCGAACCGTCCTTCGACAATAATCATAAACCCGCGCAGCTGGCTCCCGATGAGCAAAGTTCCTACTTTCCAGCGCATCTCGAACCAGCTGTGCAGTTCCATCGGAATATTATCTGAGTGTCACTGAAGGGGTATCTATATCGGCTTTCCCTGCCTGGAAAATCAGGGTCGTTAGGTGCCTCCTCCGTGTTACAATCGAGCACCCGTGTAGCAGAGAATCCAGATTAAGTATAAGTTCATCCATATCTCGTTTTATTCTTCCAATCAAAACCATTTGTGCAGAATACCAAGCCCGGCTTATTCAATTCGAACTTAACTCAGTTTGGGATGTCCATACCTCCCTTCCCGCGCGCCGATTGACAACTATCTCTTTCAGAGAAGCTTTCTAACCCTTGCGATAAAGAATGGCGAGCCCGCTCCCACCCCTACCGTTTAACCCGGGGCGATTACGCTCATATATACTTCGTTTACCACTATTTTCACGCGTTGTCATCTTCGTCATTGCAGTATTTTGGGTCTTGGGCATTCAGTCGCTATGGGATGTGGTACAATGGGGTGCCTTGATACCCAGCGAGACCGGATTCGGATCGCGTGCGTAAAATCTCTATTTTGTTGTGACATAAACGAAAATCTGCTTTCGGAGAACACTTGAAATTTTCAGACTATATTTCGCTAACTCTACCTTGCTTTTTTTTTTTTTTTTTTTTTTTTTTTCGAAGTGTACCGGCTCAACACCTATCCGTTTATCCACAATGGATTGTTCCACACTTTCTGGAACATCCTAGCTCTAACACCGCTCTTGGAGAGGTTTGAGGCGGAACATGGCACCCTTACATCCGTCGCGTTATTCATCGGACGTTCGTATTTAGATATTCTTTAGTTCATTGGGCTTTCTTCTTCGAATGAAGCTGACCGATGCCATTTCATCTAGCACTGTCAACATTGCCAGCGGGCCTATACTTGGTCTTTGAAAAGGTCATTTTAAGGGGTAACACTACTGCCTTGGGCTCTAGGTAAGTTTCCTCGCACGCAGCGGTTATGCAAAATAAGCACACACAGCTAACTTTCATCCTGACAGTGTATGGATATTTTTGCTTCTAGGAATTGAAGCAATAAAAACATTCCAAACGAATCCTCATTTTGTGTTAGTTCTCCCATTCCTTGTTTCTTTGCCATCATCATTTGTTGTTTGCTGGCTACTAACATTCCTTTGATAGTATTGGAATATATAGAATTCCAACGTGGACGACGCCATTACTTTTAATAATTTTGGTGTTTGCACTAATCCCCAATACCAGCCTCCTGGGCCACTTATCTGGTCTCGCTGTTGGCTATATTTGTAAGTTCCTTCTCGCTTTCCCACAATATCTACCACATCTGGCGATCTTGGAGACTCACGAATACTGTGTAAATGAAGTTGGACTAGGATACCTGAAGTTTCTCGTTCCGCCCGAGAAAATCCTTCGCTGGATCGAAAGGAAACTAAACCTTCTCGCAAGATTACCTCACTACGTCTCGGTCGATCAAAAAACCTATGGAAGATACGGAATCTTATCCTCCAGGGAGTTTGATCAGGAATCGGGGGCAATAAACCTTCCACTGGGCTCTACCCAACGTCTAGGCCCATAAGAACATTTAGCGAATTGATATGCACATGCATAAATTAATTTCTTACTATATATATTTATTTTTTTAGTGTCTACCAATTTATTAAATATGGGGGATCGGCATATAACAATGAATGTGAGATAGATGGAAATTATTCAGTATTGATAACGTAGGTGGTCTCTGTGACGTGCCGTAGTCCAGCTAACGTAATCAACCACTCAACGCCCGTCTACACTCAACGCCCACCCAATCCTCATTTTTTCATCCATCTTCAAACACCCACAAGATGCACCACGAGGCAGTTATATTGTCCGCGATTGATGATTTGAATGCCCAATTGGTTCCTAATTACACTGTGACCGCTGAGAAATATGGAATCAGTCGTTATACACTCTCACGGCGCTATAGAGGTGTTCAAACGTCAAGAAAGGAAGCAACCTCTATCCACCGCAAAATCCTCACAGATTCGCAAGAAAATCGACTCCTTTTTCATATCAATCGATTGGCAGATCGCGGTTTCCCTTGTACGCCCCAAATCCTTCATAATCTTGTTGTTGAGATATTAAAAGAACCTATTGGAGCCAACTGGGTGGCAAGGTTCTGTCAACGCCACAAGGATGTAATCAAGTCAGTTTACCTGCGAAATATCGACCAAAAACGCAAGATTGCGGACAATTCTACATACTTTAAGCATTATTTTGATCTTGTATATATTGCTTTTCTCTACTGCTTTTCTTACTTTTATCTTGCTAATTTATTGTTGATTTGCAGCTACAGGAAAAGATCACTAAATACAATATTGAACCTGGGAATATCTACAACTTCGATGAAAAAGGATTCCTATTGGGCTTCATCCACACCCTCAAGCGTATTGTATCAATTAATGCGCTCAAATCCGGCCGTACAATAGGTGCCAGCCAGGATGGCAGCCGCGAATTCATTCCACTACTTGCCTCAATTTGCGCCGATGGAACCTCACTCCCACCTGCTCTCATATATCAAGGGGAATCAAGGGATATACAAGATACTTGGCTGGAAGATTTTGATAGCAAAAAGGATCAGGTCTACTTTGCTGCTTCAGAGAATGGATGGAGCAATGATGAATATGGGTTAATGTGGTTAAAGAAGATCTTTGAACCTCATACAAAAAAGAAAGCAGGGCGTGGATACAGGCTTCTTATATTAGATGGCCACTCATCCCATGTTAATATGGCATTCATCAATTACGCGGCTCAGCATAAGATTTTACTTGCTGTCTTTCCTCCCCACTCTACACACCGATTACAACCGCTAGATGTTGGGATATTTGGACCATTGAGCAAATCATATTCTAAGCATTTGAATGAGCGAATGAGAACCGGTATGGGATTTGTACGCACTACAAAGAGGTCTTTTTGGCAGCTATTTGATGCTGCTTGGAAGGAATCAGTTACATCCTCAAATATTATATCCGCGTTCGCTGCGGTTGGCCTACATCCATTTGATCCAGAACGGGTTCTTAAAAAGCTTGCAATACGCCCTTGCACCCCCCCAGACGCGCAATATCGACCCAGAAATCAGGAAAGAAGACGTCGCAAGCGTGGCAGGGCAATGGGGTTGCTAGATTCTTCAAATCCGTCATTGGCACAGTTCTTTTCACCGGCAAAGGTGCAGAGCATCCGCGAGCAGATGACTGCCGCAGAGGCCGCCAAAAAGGATGAACAGGCTCGTAAGGAGGATGCCAAGTTGCAACACGCTATTCTTAAGGAGCAGAAGGAGACAGATATCATGTTACAGCGAATGGAGCGGGAGGCAGCTCGCCAGGCAGCTAAGGAGCAAAAGGAGATGGATAAGGCCGCAAGAGCCGCTCAACGGCAGATTGACAGGGAGCTTAGGGATGCAAAGAAGGCCCAAGAGCAAAAGGAAAAGGAAGAACGAGCTGCTGCGCGGCAGCAATCGCGGTTGGGGGGGGGCCAGGTTCGGGGGTCCAAAAATCACCTTCCTAATCGGGAAATCAGACCCTCGATTTCGCAAAGAGTGGCTAAATCGCGTTTTCAGAGCTCTGCCAGTTGCCCGCGGGTCCGCCGCCGGGGGGTCCGGATGATATTGCAACCCCTACGGATTTGACCGCTGCCTGCTCATTGAATCTGCTTCCACCCAAGATTTCGGGTCCGGGGGAGTTATTAAGCCCAACAAACATCTTTTGAATTAGCTATATATTTTTATATGTAATTTTCTATATATATTTTCATCATATAATATATCATATTAAAATCTAATTGCGTTGTTGAGATATTAATGAAAAGATTTCATTGTAGTGGTGGCAAAATAGCGGGCGTTGAGTGTAGACGGGCGTTGAGTGGTTGATTACGTTATCCAACTTGCAACTTCGGAGTTCAATTCCAACATTCGCACCCATCCGGCCTGTACAATTAGCTTACGGCCTCGTGGGGATATGATTCCCGGAGGTCTCTCGTTCAATGGCTTTAATATGTAAGAAATAGATCCACCCAGGTCGTCTTCCAATCATAGACAAAATGCACTCCTCGTTCTCTGGTCACGTTGGTTCTAACGATCAAAACAGCCAATATAATCCTCAGGCTACGCCGCGATCCACGCCTGTTATATGAATTTCCTCCGTATATATCTGCCATTCTCGTCGTGGTCGGGGTTGTTTGGCTCTTTCTCCTTCCCCTTACCGAGTACTCTCGCCAAACATACATCTCAGAAAACGCGCTTTTACCGGGGCAGGTGCACACGTATTTCGCAGGGAGTGAGCAGAATGTCTTTCGGGGGTATAGACGGGAAATTGACCTCGTGAAGGATGCGGAGTATGATATGTACGTGGCTTTTAGGTTTCTTTTTATTTTGCAGGACCCCAAAAGTGCTCTCGGTGCCTGAAAAGACATGGAATACCTTGATAGTATTATATATCTAACTGTAATCTTCCTATTGTGTTGGTCTTTATTTCACCACTTTTTCTATAGAGAGACATATAACTAACCCTCCTCATTGTACTTCTATTGACACAGGAAGTCTAAAAAGATCCAGTCGATATTTCGAGAATCCGGTCTGAAAATTGCAACTCAAGATTATGAGTATCGGTCAGCTGGAAACACACATCGTGGACAAAATGTTTATGGTGTCATTCATGCTCCAAGAGGAGATGGGACAGAAGCTATTGTTTTGGTGGCCGCTTGGAAAACCATTGACGGCCAACCAAACGTCAATGGCGTGACTTTGGCTCTGACCCTGGCTAGATATTTCAAACGTTCGCCTCTCCCAACTTAAAGTTAAGAACGGGAAGAGCAAAATCAAATACTAATCTATGTTGAGAATAGGGTGGTCCCTGTGGTCCAAAGATATCATAATCCTAATTACGCCAGACAGCAAATCCGGCACACAAGCATGGGTCGATGCCTATCATGATATGCACCCAGCATCCGTTCAATCTCTTCCTCTCAAAAGTGGCGCTTTGCAAGGCGCCTTGGTTTTTGAGTACCCCTTCGACCACAGGTTCGAATCTATCCATATCGTATACGATGGTGTCAATGGGCAGCTGCCAAACCTCGACTTATTCAACACTGCCGTTTCAGTAATCCATGGCCAAATGGGCAATTCAGCAACCTTGCAGAAGATGTATGAGCACAATGATAGCTACAAAATGCGCCTGAAAACAATGCTTCGAGGCATGATAAATCAGGGGCTGGGTAATGCTGCTGGCGCTCATAGCAGCTTTATTCCTTATCACATTGATGCGATTACGATCCAGACTATCGGAAACGGGTGGCAGGACGAAATGGCGCTTGGCAGGATCGTGGAAAGTCTTGTTCGCAGCTTGAATAATCTCCTAGAACATTTCCATCAGAGCTTCTTCTTCTATATTCTAATGCAGGTGAACCGGTTCGTAAGCATTGGAACATATCTTCCCAGCGCAATGTTGATTGCAGGGAACTTCACCATCATGGCTATTGCTCTATGGATGAAAAGTGGAGTTCGTCCTTCCGCAGGCACAAACGCAGGATTGGAGGATTATGTTTCCAAGAGAGGAAAATCAAATGGAATGGAAAACATCATCGCTGATCAGGAAGGAAATGGCATTCTAGAACGACATATGGCGTTGCCACTGGCGCTGGTGGTTGGATTGCATCTAGTAGGATTTATCCCGCTCTATGCCTTCAACAACATGCACCATCAAGTAAGTGTAGTGTTTTTCTAATAACAAGAAATTCGAACTCCGTCCCATGAACAACACCCTTGACTAACCCATTTTCCTCACAGTACTTTGAACAAGCAACCTACCTACTCGTCTTCATAAACATCGTCCTCCCAATACTTCTCGCTGCAATCATAACCCGCTGCTCTCGCCCATCAACCCAACAATGCCTCCTCATAAAATCCTTCTCCCTCCTCCTCCTCGGTCTCTTCCTCTCTGCACTCGCAACCTTAAACTTCTCCCTCTCACTCATGATCGGCCTGTTATGCACTCCCCTATCCTATATCGTCCCGATCCCAAACGAACCTAGCCAAAACGCAACCGCGAATTCGAAACCATCAGCTTCTACGGACAAGGCCAGAGAAAAGCCAACAAATTCAACCTCAACGTCAGTGACGACTATCCTCCTCACCCTGTTCGGTCTAATCTTCATGAATCTACTTTCCCCCACTGTAGTTCTGTTGGCTGCATGTCACTACTGGCAGATTCCGATAACGACGTTGTTGACTGAGGCGGTGTTCGGATGGGACGTATGGGGGGTGTGGACTCAGGTAGCCTTCTGGTGTATGTGGTGGCCCGCTTGGCAATGTGGATGTGTGTTGCTAGCGTCGTCCTTTTTCTGAGAAAGATAGACTGGTGTTTCCTAACTTCACGATGAGATTCTGGTGGTTGAAGGAGGGGGGAAAGGGGAACGGTGAGACTCGTTTCCTCTTTTCTTTCCCTTTCTTTCAGTATTTGTTTTGTATGTTATGCCATTATACTCCAAGAAGCTATTATGCCAGTTCCAGCGGAAATAACGGTAAGGCCCGTTCTGTCAAAGTTTTAAAATATTCCCCATGGTACCTAATTTCCAAACATGTATTCCATATCGGGGCCATTGTGAGGACCCTCATCCAGCATCCTTTGCCTTGACTTCGTCCATAGACATGTCTTTTGCACAATATTTGAACTAGGCTCTGGTGTAGATTGATAAGATCTACCACGAATCATAACGTGAAAGCTCTCACAACAACTAACCTTGCAACCCAGATAAAAAATCTTACTCTTACATGGGACAGCTGGTTAAATCAAGAAAAGGTCCCAGCAAACGTGTAGAGCTATGATATTGAATAAATGAAAAAGCCAAGAGGTAAGATGGTTATGGCAAAGGTTAAAAGAAATGGAGGTTGTCTGTCTAGGCTGCCCAAACATCCTTCCCAACCCCTTCAATCCAGTGACCCAGTTGATTAACCCCAGAATCCCACTCACGCAGCCGATTCCTCATTCCTTCTATCTGCCCCATGTCCAGAACCTTGGGCTGCACCCAACTGATCTTTGCCATCTGCGCAACTTGGTCGATGGTTCCCTTGAGCAGGCCGAGGCTAAGTGCCTTCATAATAAGATGCTCGATCTCGTTAGGTTGCACTTTAGTCTCCTCCGAAATCGCACTGAATGTCATTATGCGGTCATGTGGCGGTCGGCGGAACACAGTCTCCGTCAGGGCGGCCAGCGAGATCTTCTGGTATAGGAAAGTCTTGTGTTGTTCCAGGAGCTGGTTCTTGCTAACGTTCCCTGCGAGGACATCGTAGGCGGCCAGGTCACCACGGTTAAATGCGAAGAGTAGGTCGCGGAGCCAGGCGTGTTGTGTGTTTTTGAGAGAGTCAAGGACGGGGTGAAGAAGGAGTTCGCCAAAGTTGTAGATGGAGTCTGAGACGAGGGCGGCTATGCTCAGGTCGTATGCTCTGGCGGCGCAATCCTCTTGTGTCAGGTCTTTGACGTCCACACATGCAAGGTAAAGCAAGGCGTTTGTATAGTAGGAAGCAAATTCTAGTTTGGCCTAAAATACCGGACATACGAGAGGGAGATTAGAAAACCGTTGATGCATATATATATACGTATGTGTATGTGTGATGAGGCAGGGCTTACGTGATAGTACTCCGCATTTACTTTGTAGAATGCAGCATGTACCACTGTCTCAACGGAGTCAAAAGAATCCAAAACGCGTTCAGACGCATCCAAATCCTTCCGTGCCCCTTCAAAGTCCTTTAATCGCAGCTTCACATTGGCCACATCCGCCATGGCGTAAACATATGCATCTTGTGATCCCGGTTTGCTCACCCTATCAGCAAGCGACGTAAGGAATGCGAGGCGTTCTCTGTCGTCTAAATCCGCAGAGTTAGGTTTTTGGGATTTTTCACGTCATCTTCTCGAAAAAAAGAAGGGAAAAAAAAACGTAGACCAACCTTCACATTGTGTTGATGCCATCAACCCCAGTGTAACAAATTTCAGCTGATTGATCTTGTCTGCAAAGCTGAGGATAAAGTTCTTGAAGATGGCTAATCTCTGCGGCGCACTTTCCGGGAGACAGAAGAATTCTATCAGAGCGTTCGTGAGCTGATGCCATAGTTTTCGCTCCCAGAAATCTTCGAAGGCGAGAAAGGATTCATGGGATTCGCTAAGAGCTTCTTCCCGCTGCTCTGCGAGAAAGTCGGGGATCTTGTCGGCCTGCATTGCAGGAAGAAGGGCGCGGGGCTTGGTGTTATTTGAAGCTAGAGAGATTCAAATATAATAAAGAAACCCAAAACCGAATAGGAAGCTCCCTACTCAGGCGTATGTTGTTTTAGTTTTGGGATAGGCGTTGGAGGAGATGTTGGTCTTTGTGAGTGGTCTATTGTTGGTTCTCTCTGGATGAAGCTTCAAAGAGGCTCTTTTGCCTGCCGTAGTTAAACTAGTGCAGCCCGGAATATTTATTTAGTTTGATTCCGCTTCAATCTTCGATCTGCGAACAATGGACAGTCCGACAACCCAACCGATTCTTGATTTTGAGAGAAAAATTATACGTATGTGTGACTACAATCATCGCTGTAAATGTGGACATTTTATTATTATTATTATCCACCTCGATTTGTGACTAGTTGGATTGAGCCTCCTCTTAAGTGTTCGAAGCCTGAATATACATGTATTTTTTGGCAGATATTCTCCCTTTATTCCTCCTATCTAAGGATGAATACTTTCTTGTTGCAAGCAGATGTTAGGCCCGACTTCCAAGAGTGAATAGGCTACACCTATTGAATAGTTGGATTTCAGATCCAGCATGATGATGTGATGATCACGCAAATATGCAACAACAAAATAGCATGGTCTTGAGCACCCAGATACCGTATATGAACCTGAGTTTAGATTTATTATAGTTTCGAATTGCAGTCCTGGCCAACATCGTTGAGTTCCTGTCCACTGGAATTGATTAGTTTGTTGGCTGGTTTGTCAACAGCTCCGTTTGAGATCTAATTCTGCTGCAGGGACATGGTTTATCTTGTTTCTTCAAAAATATTTATCCAAAACAGCTTGTCAATGATGAATCTGAACATAATTTTGTTAATAATGTGTAGCAAAAATAAGCCTGATTAAATGAATAATTGAGATGAGATATGAAAATCCCGGCACATGTATGTGAAGGTTTGTAAATTGCGTTTAATCTTTTCGTTGCAACATCAACTCAGGGGCATTTGGTTGAATGGTATAATACCCCCCGTAGCATCTGAGGATTTCTATTAATGAAAGGGGATGTGCAATTAGGTGGTGTTGAGTTCGATTCTCTATTATCCAATGTTGTGACAAGTTCGGTTGAGTTCAATCTGGTATCTATGTCAGACTTTTGAGATAGAAAACACATAATAGGCAAGTTAGAAATATGCTGTACTTGTCATCGCTGCCCGTCTTATAGGTTTCGCCTTTGGGATTCTGCGTCATCAACCATTCCAATAACATGCAGCAAAACTCAGAGAAGCTTTGAAAGGTTGGCATCAGGAGACCCATCATCAATGTTGAGAAGAAACATAATTTATTGGATAGAGTCATTTTAGCAGGTCCGACTATTCCCTTTTGGGACAGATCCTAAGTCACACTCGGAAGAACCAGTATACTCGCAGACAAAACAGATTAACAAGCTTCGAACTCCACACAGCGCCGCAGGAACGCTACTTAACTATCGCAATTGCGCCACCGGCGATTCCGGCAGACTCCTTTTCTCAAATTATAACAGATACATGGTCAATTGACCGGAGTTTGCAATGCAGAAGTGCCGCGCCGTCCAGAGCGTCTTGGGCTCGCGGGCAGCTGTAACCACCCCGCTGCCACCAGTTCGAGCTCAACCTCACATCCAGCGGCGAAATATACAAGATGTCTACATCACCCGAACAGGAACTCCAATTCTTAAGGTTCAGGGCGGACGGTATGAGACCAATTGCTACTTTTCTTGGGGGTTCTGTGTGTGCGCTAACATATTGGTTTCAATTCATGCAGCTCGTCTCTTGGAGGTATTTCTATTTCTCCCGCAGCTCCTCTCGCACATACTACAATTTACTGAGAGGCCTCTTTCTTCATTTTAGGACATACTGCTACAGTCTTCGGAGCTACGGGCTTTTTGGGTCGTTATATTGTGAACAGGCTTGGTAGGACATATCAATCCATTGGTAACAGCTTGTGGAAACGGATTGAAATAGTTAACGGAGAATATTGGTACATACAGCTAGTCAAGGGTGTACCGTGATCGTCCCTTACCGAGAGGAAATGGCCAAGCGCCATTTAAAGGTTACTGGTGATTTGGGAAGAGTTGTCTTCATGGTGAGATTGAGTCGAGGAATGCCAGAACAATATGTGACCTCCTTCGCTCATTTCATGTCCGTTTTATAGGAATACGATCTTCGAAATACACAATCCATTGAGGAGAGTGTACGCCATTCTGACGTCGTTTATAACCTCGTGGGCAGAAAATATCCGACAAAGTATGTGTTTCTTCTGCGTATCTTAATAAACAATCCACATCCATACTGAGCATCCTTTTACAGGAACTTTTCGTACGAAGATGTGCATGTCGATGGCTTAGCGAGAATTGCGGAAGCTACCGCTAAATATGATGTTGACCGCTTCATCCACGTTTCTTCATACAATGCGGATATGAATTCTCCTTCTGAATTTTTCCGAACCAAAGTATGTTTTCCAGCGAAGAGTAGTCAAAGATTTATTTACTTACCCCCCCAATTAGGCTCAAGGCGAGAAGCTAGCTAGAATGTTATTCCCGGAAACAACTATCGTCAGACCAGCGCCGATGTTTGGGTTCGAAGATAACCTTCTTCACAAGCTAGCCGGCATTACCAACCTGTTTACTTCCAACCATATGCGGGAGAGATATTGGCCAGTCCATGTAGGTAGCCCTCCTCATGCGCTTCATGTAAAATGACAAGAACTAATATATTTTTCTTCCTTTAATAGGCTATTGACGTTGGCCATGCTCTTGAGAAAATGCTGTTCACCGATTCATCCGTAGGCCAGACATACGAGCTGTACGGACCCAAAAACTACTCGACTGCCGAAATTGCCGAACTTGTCGACCGTGAAATCATAAAAAGGCGTAGACATCTCAATGTACCCAAACGCATCATGAAACCAGCAGCGCACTGGGCCAACAAACTCCTCTGGTGGCCTACGATATCAGCAGATGAGGTAGAGATGGAGTTCATCGACCAGAAGATCGACCAATCTGCCAAAACTTTCAAAGATCTAGATATTGAACCTGCTGAAATCGCTAATCTGACCTTCTATTACTTGGTATGTACAAATCCCACTCCGTATGTTCGCTTCTAGCCCTGGTTTAAATCAATTCTTACCTTTGATTCTCTTCAACAGCGAGGTTACCGAAGCTCCCAGTACTCTGACCTCCCTCCAGCGACAGAGCGAGAGAGAATGGAAGACAAGAAATATGTGCACGTCCTCGACAACCAGTAGACCATTGATACATTTCCCTAAATCATGTATATACTTGTATCTCACTAGACGCAAATCAACTTCAGTTTTCTTTTGTTTTATTTAATCGCATGCTATGTGGTAAACGATCTAAGGCCTGGCGGTTTGAAATCTGGAGACCAAGCACAGAATTGTTTGAATAGAAGTCAGTGTAGTCAAATATTCATACATAGGTAATGAGCTAATAAATACATTTATTCTAATCCCAGAATTTACTTGTATATTGTTTTTGCGCTCCATTTAGAACGTTGTGCAAGGCCACTACGGAAGGTATAAAAATGAAGCGCTTGCCTTGCCCAGTGACAACCTCTCTCTTATTCCCCACCAATTGATAAAATTTATATGTAAAAAACTACAGCCCCTCCAACAGACTCACCTTTCTATCGAATGCGCTGATGCCATCATCATGATGAACACTCCCTCAAGCACCCCCGCCAAAACCCCCATCTTCCTCCTGAAAACCAAATCGACTCCCCACGACGGATACGAAGAATATTTCTCCGCATCCGGCCAGTATGACCCCATCTTCGTCCCGGTCCTCGAACACAGGTTTCGTGAGGCAAGTCTGCGGAGGGTGAGGGACCTGTTCGTCTCCGGGAATATAGGGAAGAAATATGGGGGGTTGATATTTACGAGTCAGAGAGCTATGGAGGGGTTTGCGAGGGTTATCACGAATGAAGTGGGGGGTATGTACGCTCTTTACCTTCCCCTCTCCCAATATTTTCCCGCGTTATTTATCAAGAGGGAACAATAAATACCTTTGTAACCAAAAAAAAAAAGAAAAGAAAAGAAAAGAAAAAGAAGAAGAAAATATAACCCATAAAAATTTCACGGACAGAAAACGCATCTACAAAGGCCTCTGAATCCCTACTCCTCTACAGCGTCGGACCCGCGACCTACCGCTCTCTGAATACATTACGCGAATCACACCTCCCCCACTCTGAACTCGTAGGCCGCGATGCGGGTACGGGCGAGAAACTCGCGCATATCATCCTCGACCACTATAATGCCAATTACGGCAATAGAAGACCTACCACCGATCCCGAAACAAAGGTAGATGGTGATGGCAGCGCAAAGACAAAAACGGGAGGGAGCAACGATAACAAATTACCCCTTTTATTCCTCACGGGAGAGCAGCACCGAGATATCATCCCCAAGACGCTCATGGGGGACAAGCTTCCGCTGGAGAGGAGGATACAGGTTGAGGAGTTGATCGTCTATGAGACGGGGGTTATGGAGTCGTTTGAGGATATGTTCGCGGCTGCGCTGAGAGCTGCGCGGGCGAGGAGAAAGCTCGAGGGCAGGGGAGGAGGTGGTGGTATGGATGATGGTGATAATAATAACGCTGATGAGCGGACTATGTGGGTTGTTGTTTTCTCTCCTACTGGTTGTGACGCTATGCTTCGAACGCTTGGTATGATTCCAATTAGCGAACGGGAGGGAATGGATAGGGATGGGATATCCACATCTATGAATGGAGGAGAAGAGGAAGAGAAGGAAAAGAAGAGAATTAAAGGGGCACTGCGTGATTGCTATATTGCAACGATTGGGCCGACAACTAGAGATCATCTACGTGGACGATATGGAGTGGAGCCGGATGTTTGCGCGGAAATCCCTAGCCCTGAAGGGGTTGGGAAGGGGATTCAGGAGTTTTTGCTAGAGAGAACGGTAAGATAATATTTGGGGTCTTGGATGGAGCATATTGGTCCAAGATGTTTTGATTTATATATTTCAATATCCCTTCCAATATTATAGAATAGGTATATACTGTATAATACGGCGAATTGGTATAACGGTGCTCTGTGATCCTTCCTTCCTGTTGGGCTCGAAATTGAAAGTCTCCCCAATATCGAGAGGAGAAATCTATGTCCGTGGGCTAATAAACAAATGGAGGTTAACTCTTATGCACAGCTACATCCACTTCCCCAGCCCCTTTTTCTTTCCTGGGACATTGTCTTTCCTCCATAATTACACTGAGAGAAAAACTACCTTTCAAGCTTCTGTAGCCGGCCCTCTTTGCATCGCAATCAACGAACGGACAACCCATCAACAGGCAGGAATCTGGGCCGGCACATAATCCTCATCCAAAACATGAACAAATTGCCCGCAGGCCTAGCACTATATCGAAGTCTGCCATCTCCTCCGAGCCCTCCCTGAGAGAGTTGTCTCGGGTCATTCATAAACTGTACCCCATTCCTAGCCAAGTGCTCATGGCCGTCTTGGTAAGTCCTGGTGTCAATATATATATCGATCCCCGCGACGACAGCGACGTAGAGATCGTCGTAGCGTGGCCTCAGCATCTTGAGGATCTCCTCCCTGGCTGGCGACAGAACATCACTATTCTCAGGACTATTATTGCTATTAGTGATGTGAACGCCATCGCGTTTGTGATTGTCATTGTCGCCGCTGCTGCCATCTCCTCTTGCTCCCGGCAGCAGAGCGTACAGTTTCACCAGTAACGCCGCAAGCGGATACATCAAGGGCCATGCTGGTGCCGTGACACCCTCATCCCTTAGGGGAAAGTCTTCAAAAGAAAAGGGGAGATTGGTCCATCCGAACGGGGTGGATCCCTTCCAAATATCTTCTAGGAGAGCGATGGCTTCATCCAGGTGCTTTGATTCCGCGTGTTCCTGCCCTTGCTCTTGTTGCTGCTCTTCTTCTGGTGAGTAAATAACAGCAAGGACAGGCGCGGGAACAGGAGCAGTAGCAATCGACCACGCAAGCGCCATGCCAATGGGAATCAACATCTCCTCCATGTCCCGCTCCATAAACCATCCCCAACACTCTGCGAATATGCCCCGCGCCCAGGCCCTGGGCACAACAGCATAGCGCACGATGTCAAACAGGTCACGGAGCACGCTGCCATACTTGCGCGGCTCCAGTGAAGAGCATTTTCGCTGGAGGATGGAGCGTAGGATAGACCGGCCGTTATTGCCAGTGATGAAGACATCATGCCAGAAGTGGCTAGATTGGATTGAAGAGAAGAGGTTGGTGAAATCTGGGAGCCAGGTAAGGATCACACATGCGATCTCTGGAGGGAGGGAGATTAGGTTTGCTGGCGGCATGGCGGGATGAATAAGTGATAAGAGTGGCTGGGGGTGGTTGTGCGGGTCTTGGAGAGGGGGAGGATATGCAGCGATCTGTGTTCATCACCTGAGGAGGGTTCTTGTTATTGGAAATAAACGACACCCCCGGTAACAATCCCCCTCAGAATTTAAAAAAAATAAAATAAAAAAAATTATGTAGTATAGTACTGAGAGACGAGCGACTACTACGGGGTATTCTGCGGGTGACCGCTGTGCCAGGATGGCCGTTAGGCGATAAAATGGATTCATTAGCTATAATGGAGACCCAGCTTTCAATTTTCACATTCCGGACTGCAAAACCACTAATAATAGTATAAATCAAATGGAAAAAGGATCAAACACAATGGACCGGCAAAATAAAAAGGAGAGAGAGGGGGGGAGAGAGAGAGAGAGAGAAGGAGAGAAAAGAAAAGAAAAGAATTTATCTATGAGCTGAGAAAGACGATGGTATTCAATTAGAAATTCAATTAGCTCCCTGTACACCTCCAAGCATAGGTAGAATATGCCCATCCAAAAAAAAAAAAAAAAAAAAAAAAAAAAAAAAAAAAAAAAAGAAAGAAAGAAAGAAAGAAAGAAAGGAAAGGAAAGAACATAAAAACAATCATTTGATTCATCAAATCAGCCTTTCAGACCGTAGATTCAGTTACTTCTTTCAAAGGTTGTCCATTTCTTGGCCCCCCCCCAAACACACGCACACACTCTCGAGACGCCAATATTGCTAGACCCAATATATGAAACGGGGGTGGTGATAGTTTTGTTCCTCCTTTCTTCCTTTTAGTGTTTTGTTTCTCGGATACACATCAAGATGGACAAAACCTTGCCATTATTTCCGTGGGCTCCTACCGCATGATCTCTTCGTAGATAAGAACTATGACGAGATGATATGGGTTAGGCTGAGTATGAATGAACAGCATGAACATACAATGGATGGATGGGGTTCATTTTAACGGAAAGGATATATTCAGGAATTAAGAAGTTTATTACCTTTCAGCTGCTCCTTGCTAAGGGAGTCTTTATTCTTGTCGAAATCAAAGAATTCTTCGGGGATCGGATCAGCTGTTGGTTCATCCTCTGGATCGTGATACGGCTCCAGGTAAGGATGGCGCAAAGCTTCTTCGACACTGATGCGTTTTACTGGGTTGAATGCAAGGAGTTTCTCGAGCAGGTCCAAGGCCAGATCGGAGGTCTTGGGGAAGAGGGCCTTTAGGGGTATCTTCTTCTTAAAAGGGAGGGATCGGATATATTCCCGAGCACGACGAGACTTGATGCCATAATAGTCTTCCATGGTTGGTGTCCCCAGGACATCCAGGATGAGGGTAAGTTGATGGTGATCTGGTTGGCTCAGCGGGTCAGTTCCTTTTGCTTTTCTATTCTTTTTGATTTGGGTGTTTGACAGAAGAATGAATACCATCATCTCAAATGTATATGGAAGGGCAAATCTTACAATCCTTGCCGGGGAACAACGGCTTCCCGCTCAACATTTCCGCCAATATGCAACCAACACTCCACACGTCAATAGCCTTGGTGTACTCTTTGAAGGTCAACATGATTTCCGGTGCACGGTACCAACGAGTGGCCACATATTCTGTCATAAACCCAGAGTTGTCGTCCGTGGAAGCGGCAGAACGGGCTAGACCGAAGTCGCAAACTTTCAGGTCGCAATTTGCGTTTAAGAGTAAGTTCGAGGGTTTCAAGTCACGATGAAGAACATTTGCAGAGTGCATAGCTTTCAGGGCTCGCAGGGTCTGATAGATAAAGTATTGGCAATGGTCGTCGGAAAGGTCCTGGGTGCGAATCACGCGGTGCATATCCGTCTCCATGAGTTCCTGGACGAATATAATTAGCCGCGTAGAGAAAGAACTGGGAGCTACGCGAGTCGTACCTGAATGAGGTACACCTCAGTGAAGCTTTCGTAGCTTCGGGGTTTCTGGATGTCTAGAATCGAGATGATGTTTTCATGATTGAAGTATCGAAGGAGCTTCATCTCGCGCAGCGTGCGCAGGCAAAACATGGAATGATCGAATGGTGTGATCTTCTTTATGGCGACCTTCTGGCTCGAGGGTTTATGAAGCGCAGAGCTAGCATTTTTGTTAGGGGTACAGCCTCCCAACGGGCAGAGTATGCTAGACTGACCAGACAACTCCATATGCGCCCTCCCCAATCACATCCTGTATATCGTACTGGTCGGAAACATTGAATGATATCTTCCTTGACCCTCCTTGAGAAGTTGATGGCTGGACCATGGTGATGGTGCTAGATCCCGAGGACTAAACCCCACAGATTAGCAATCAGAATTGCGACGAAAGGAGAGCATGAACGAAGGAGAACACAAGGTCTGAAAGCCTTTGGGAAAAGACGAGAGGTCGGGCGTAGTTGTTAATGAAGAAGTTCATGTTGACAAAAGTGACAAGGTAAACAATGATAGTAGAGCTTCATGAGAGTGGGGGCATTTGCGAAGCCTGAAACTGGGGGCAAAGAAAGATAATTATAGCAAGCATATGCATAGGACAATGAGAACTTGCTCTAAGTACACTCCCCAAACGCGTTACGAGGCATTTGATATATTTGTTTAGACACTGCGAGATCCGCAAGCTTGGCCGTGACTGATTCATACTGCGATATAACCGTGTGCAGAGCAAAAAGTTTGGAGGAAGAAAGGGTTCAAAGAACACAACACATGGCAGCAAAGAAAACGAAATATCAAAGAAAAGAAGTAGCCGAAAAGAATTTCAATGCGAACAATGAATTTACTTCAAACATGAGCGCACCGATAGAGACATGATTTAGAAGTGAATGTGAGCCTCAGTAAGAACTGTCTTACACTTGATCACAGAGTAAATACTGAACCTCTGTTGATTCTCAGTTCCCCCTAGAGCAGTAATGGTGATTCCCTATTTGCAACACACTTGAACTGATATCAAGCTCAATGTTCCAATAGTGTTCTTTTTCTTTTTCTTTTTTTGGTGTGTATGTTGCAGGTGTGGATAGGATATCAAACAGGAGGGATTCCTGAGAGGATGTGAGATATTTCGGAAGGATGGCTTATTGGGCTTCTGCTGGCGTCAAATATTTGGTGAAACCGTTTTGCTATGGTATGCAACCTGAATCGAACGATGGCCACTGGTTATAGGGGATATATAGGGTCAAGGTTGGGATCTACCGTGGTGGAAGATTGCGGGGTTGGGAAGTCTGTGAAAAGGAATCGAGCCTGATGGTGAAGAGGAAGGCCTCGAGAACTACCACACTGTCAGTGTATCTCCGTTTGATATCAGCGATTCACCATGACAAGATGTGGGGAGGCTGGTGATCACGATGAGGGAATGTGGGCGGACAGGACAGAGAAGATATGGTTCATGTCATACCTGGTTTGTGTTGCTCCGCCTGGAATAGATATTCCCCGTAATATTGCAAGAGGAATACCTGACTGGGCCAGTCTTGGAAAGAAAAATAGATTGAATAACCAGACAAGCGTACTTTGTCGTTGGGAGCGATATTTTGGCCTTGTCACAAGTATTTCTCCCCAGTCTGAGCTATTGTACGGAGGCTGATGATGACGATGCGGTCTGGAAGAGGTCGCATAAATATGCAGTTAAACAAGGGGAGTTAGATGCCACACGTTCTTTACAGACGCAGAAGATGGCAGCCGCAGGAGAAAAAAGGAATTAGCTAACCGTCTGAATTATGAAACGCAGCCCCTCTTCCTCCGGGAAACCAAGCCGGATCTAGATTCCAAATCCAAGTCCGAGAACAATAAGAAGAGGCAAAGGGAAAATCGTCAACCACCATGGGAGATGATGATATGCTCCCGGCGGCGGGCTGGCGGGCGGTTAGCGGTGGTGGGGCAGCATCACAGCCAGACACCATCTGTGCACACCAACTTACCACCTACCACACAGCACACAGCACTATCCCAAACCGCACCAGCCCCCATCCAGTCCTCAATAGACTTACGCCGTTGGATCGGGAGGAACAGAGCAACTGCAGGCTGCGGCACGCGAATAATCGTACCGAACAGCAAGCACAATCAAACCATGCTTGATCACACCCGTTCGTACTAGCTCTTTCTTGC